CTAAAGCTGCAGTGATGCACTAGTAAAGGCTAGCTGTTAGCCTTAGCTACAGCTAACTTAGCCACCTTCAGAATTCAATTTGTTCTCCAACATCAAAAATTGTTATCACGCTACAATATGTATAATTTTGTGGGTAAAGCATTTTACAAGAGCTATAAAACTGCATGCTAAAGAGGCAGCAATACACCCAGACTAATAAAGGCTGGCTGCTAGCCTAAGCTAAAGTTAACTTGGCCACCTTCAGAATTCAATTTGTTCTCGTATATCAAAAAAATTGATAGAATAATGCTGCTGAAAGACTTTAATGTCTGAAATTCCACATTCATTTCACAGAATGACATGTATATGATTTCCATGGCTAATGAGTAAACTGATGAACTGCTGAAGGCCATGAAATGTGTCTGAAAGCTCTACAAAAACCAGGATAGCAGAGGAGGTAGGAATTATGCGAGGATTGTTCAATTTACCTTACTTATGAAAGCAAATTGTAAGTTATCTTTGCTTCATGTTAAATGTTTTGACATTTCTGTCCTGTAACACACAACAGAAACTAACAATTAAATCATCATCATCTGCAAAATGTCTTTTTTAAAATCAAATTACTTTTTTCTGATGTTGCAGTTTTCAGACAATTCAATCAATTTTAGTTTAGCCTAAGTCGAAGGTACATTTTCTTCTTTGGAGATCAACTATTTAATTATTTAACAGCATAAGAAAACCCATTCAAAATTACTATTTAAAAAAATAACATAAATATATTATGATATGTGATATATGTGAAAACTCCTCCGCTGTACCTGAATCTTTAAAGTTTTCTCTGTCATTGTAGGAAAACGCCTCCATGTCCCCGTTGTGGTAAGTCTTGCAAAGACCCAACTCCTCGGTGGCTCGAAGTAACGTACAGCGTGGCGCCGAGACCACGATGATGTCACCGCTGGCGTCTTCGCCGGGGTGCGCCAATAAACCAGCACCTGGATGGGAGATGGAAACTTTAGGAACGCCTCATAGTACTGTTTTTTTTTTGTTTGTTTGTTTTTTTTAAAATGGTTTTGTGGCATGTGGCTCTTGGAAATGTCAGAATTTGTAAAAATTGCAAAGGGTGTCCCACAGGGCTCAATCCTTTTAATTTTCAATCGATAAATGGCCCAAATATTGAGCAGATTCAACAAAATATTAATATCTTGAAATCTGAATTGATGAGAAGCTGATATTTGACTATCATGTGTCCAAATTTATGACTAAACTACAACAAAAATAGTGTTTTTAACAGGAATAAATCAAGTTTTCCATTGCATTGTAGAAAAATGGATTATGCAGCCATTGTCCACATGATAAAGCCTTTGGACACTTTATCACCTACATTCACATTTATTACTGGTGATAATTATAATACTCATAACTGTGAGCTGTATTATAACTTTGGGTGGTGACCGATAGTGGGTTTAATTATTTACAAGGCTCTTGCCCTTTTGTTTAACCTCTTACATTGCCTATTAAAAGCATTCACCTCCCTTTGAAATTTCTCCTTTTTAACACTGAATCAGTTTAATTTGGCTTTTTTGAGCAGAACCGTAAATTCTGAAATCAGATTTGCACTAACTAATGCCAATCAATAAAATCCAAATATATAATGTAAAATAGGTGCTTGCATCAGAATTCACTTCGTTCACTTCTTTATTGGGACGGCTCATTGCTCCACAGCTGTTTATTGAATGTGGGCCTTTGCCATGCTGGCTTGAAGGACCGGATTAAAACTGCAGCTGTTTCTATAGACCTTGGAAAATCCAGTTTTACTCAGTGTGTAACCCGGATTAACCTGCAAAACAATCTAAAGCTCGTCTCATTCTTATCTTCGGGGGAATCCAGGGCTCTAATTTCAACTCATTTTATTTCCAGCTGCTCTTGTGTTTGTCTCGATTTCATTTTTTTTTTCCATTTTACTCATTTTGCCCTAATATTGTAGTTATTTGACCCACATCTCTTAATCGTGTACATACCTCTTTGATTTTCTTACTAAGCTATGCTGTAAATGAGGCCTCCATACTTAAATGTGGTCGGAGTTTAAATGAACGTATCCTTCCACCTTCAGTTACCCAAACAGGCAGCTGGAGAGATTTCTTTGCATGATTTGGGTGTGAAAAAGAAGGAAATGTGTCTTAGTTACACTTGTTTTGACATGTTTATGTTGCATTTAGAGTAAAGAAGAAAAGAAACATAACGTTGAGTATCATCGGCGAAGAAACAACACTAAAAGTAGAGGAGCCCACATGGTAATCGACAGAATTACAACCAAAATATGAAGTTTTGCCAATGACACACGATGCAAACGCTCACCAGGTGACTCATAAAGGTTTGGCACTAAGACCAGCAGAAGAAATGTAGATAGTGCAGTCATTACAATCTCAAGGTGTGGCAGTTGTGTGGTTGGTTTTGCGGAGAGGGAAAGTGGCAAACTATTAATTCATCAAGAGCTCATTTATGATACTACTAAAATCAAATATAGGGGAAAACATAAAAGGCAATACTAGAATAGAATAGCAAGAAAAAAAAATCCTTGTGAAAAGAAAAATATTTATTTTCAATTTTCCCTAAATGTGACATATTTGGTGCCTGAAGGCCTAAATTATAGAACAAAAACAAGATGAGGATTCTTTTTCATTGAGGAGAAACCTACAGGCTGTTTCATATTTAAATTTAAATTGATGTTGTTTTTTCTTTCAAATATTTAAACATCATGTGTTGAAATAGACACTTAAAAAATAAAACTTAAAAAATAGATTATTAGCGTTTAATTAATTCTCCATTTGCACCTGAATTAAGTAGTTTGAATATAAAAAGAAAGAAACTTTATCTACAGAGACAGATGTGAGGAAGCAGCACGTTTTTCTTTTTGACACAAGTTAAATGTACATTTACATCAGGATCATTTTACTACATTTGTCTGCTCTGTGGCGTAAAAATGCAAATGCAGTGAAATGTCTCCTGTCAGCGACTGACCTCTGAGCTCCGACAGCCACCTCTGGATCAGTCTGACCATAAATAACATCTGGATTCAAACAGCTGGACTGAAGGACAGGAACCATGAAATTAAAAAATCAATGGATTTTAAAAAATTCAATCAGAAATCATTTCCAATAAAATGCTTCCTTAAATCAGGTTTTCCCATCATATTAGTTACTGGAATATTTTACATTAGATTTTTGTTGTATTTTGCAGCATTTTATTTGATTTTCAGTAGATTTTTATGGTATTTCGTTGAATTTGTTAGGTTTTTACTGGATTCTTGTTGTATTTTTGGAGTATTTTGTTTGATTTCTGGCAAATTTTATCATGTTTGATTTGATTTCTTTGGTATTTAGTTTGATTTTAGGTGTATTTTGTGTGATTTTTCTGCTGTGTGACGTAAAAAAGCAGCACAGCAGAATGTTTAAACGACTGTTCAGATGAGTTCTTGAGTGTCTGAGCTTTTACCTCCATCCTTCTGCGGAGTTCCGATCAGTTTGATGATCCACCGCTTCGTCTCCGGTCCGACCTTCCCGCCGAGCTTCACCAGAACCAGCGGCTCGACCCGGTCCGAGAGGCAGCAGGGACACCGGACTTTGGTCCAGCCCGGTCCGATGGAGGCGGCGCTCAGTTTGCTCAGAACCTTTTCTGCTCCTGCAGCGTCTCCAGCAGCTCCACCTTCTTCACCGCCGGCCTCGCTCATGGTGGGACTGGAAACAAGAGGCAGCAGAACAGAACGCTGACTGGAGGTTCTCCAACAGCAGAACCTGGAAGAACTGGGCAAGACTTGGTGAAGAGGCAAAGAGAAATGTGACGCTTTAAAACGTTAACAGTAAAGTGAGAATGTTTGTGTCTAATGTAAACTAGCTGGACCTGTAAATAACCATAACATAGGTTTTTTTTTTCAAAAGAAAATGTAAATAATAGTTTGATCAAATACAATTGAAAATGTATCATATTAAATATATATATATGTATTTCATTTTATTTATTACACAAAACAATAAATATATTTCTACAATTAGTGACAATTAACAGAGAGAAGGTTCCATAGGTTACCTGTAATGTGACATGAATTTGTTTGTTAAATGACAGATATTTTGTTTAAGTAAATGTTTTCATAAGAAAAATGCTGAATAAATGTGTTACGTGTGTGTATAACGTCACTAAACTGGTAAAACATCTGAAGCTGCTTTTATTATCATAATTAGTAGTCATAGTCGTAGTGAAAGTGATTTTATTGTGTCTATGTATGTAAATATCTGTCATTAAACATGAAGAGCCAAAAATAAAAGAAAAAAAATACACAAAGTCAGAAAATATATTTTAATTATGCAACATTTCCTGTATTTTTAGTGTAATTTCTGATTAAATTACAGAATTTTTGCCTCCCAAACTGCCTCAATATTAAAGTATTTTTATTATTTTCTTTTTTTTCATTGTTTACAGTTTAGTCACGGAACATTTAAGAACGTTCTTACTTTGTTTTCATGGAACATCATCCGTGGTTCTGACAACATTGTCTGAATGTTGACAATAAAACATTATATTAACTTTGCAGTAACATTACTGGAAATAATAATGTTCCTAAAACTTTATTTTGACATTTGATTAAAACATGATCTTTAAAGAATCATTAGAACTTGTAGGTAACGTTTATCTAATGTTGTGGAAACGTTCCCTTAATGCCTCTAATGTTAGCATGCTAACACGCAAAGCTAAAAACAACAAGTTAAACATGGCAGCTGTTAGCGTGTTGACTTTATCCCAAAGCAAAGTCTGTATTAGTTTAATCTTTGTGCTGCAGATCAAACTCGTGTCTCCTTCAAGCTTTAATCTGTCGCCGTGAACCTGAAGCTTCAGTTTTACATTTCAGCTTCACAACCAGATCATCAGGTCAAAGGTTAATGACGCTAACGAAGCCAAACGCAGATAAAAACGTGTACTTTCCGTCACTGCTGCCCTCCTGATCAGACGGCCACGACCATCAGAGTAATTCAGTCACTGGTTTAAAAAACATCATATTTCTGTCAAATGAAACAAACTCACTGCACAGACTTGTTCCAGCTCCAGACTGAAATATAATCATGTTTACTGAGAGAGAAATATTCAGACTTGTTGCTCCACATTTTTATGGCTGCACAGCTTCACAAAACAGAAACATTTCACAGGAGAGTTTTAGCATTTTTTTCTTCAAATTTCAGCCTCTCATTCAGTGTTTGGTGTCTTTGCAGTTTTAAAAGTTAAATGGGGTTAAATGTTGTTTTGCTTGTTTTCAGCGTGGTTTTAATGAAAGTGGTTTGGTTTCCTGCAGCTCTAACAACAGGAATAAAGTGAAACTAAATGTAAACTAAGTCTGATTATAACCGTAAAATAATTATTATCTAATTACACATGAAAAAGGAAGTTTGAATATTGAGATAAAAGGAGTTTATCTACAAACATTCTGAGGATACAGCTGATGTTCTTCCTCCTGATGAAAGTTTTCTGTCTGAATTTAATGTAAATTTATATTTAAATAGGAATCATTTGATGGAATTTATCTGATAATATGGCTGTACGCTAATAATAATAATAATAATAATAATAACAATAAATCTGAAAAAAGTATATATTTGACAGCAAAAGGTGACAGAAAAATATTTTTTTTTAACTAATAAAGGAATGTGGAAACAAACAGCAAATATCTGTAAATTAAAACTATTTTTTCATACTAAATTTACTATTTATAAAATTACAGTTTTTTGATGTGGATATTATTTATAGTTTTTCTTTTAAGTCAACATATAAATTAGTACATATTTTCTATGTTTTCATAAGATATTATTTACTGTTGTCAATTCTTTACCCTCTTTAGACCTGGCGTCCACATGGACATCACATTTTGGGTCATACTATAGCAGTAGTTAATTTTTATTTATTTTTTGTATTAGCATTACTTT